TTAATGTTGGCGGTCAGCAGAAATTAGTAAAAAAGATTAATTCATCAGAAGATGGTATAATTAAATATTATGTTTCATTGGACGAACTATTTGATGTGGTGCAAACAGCTCATGTTACAATTGGTCAACGTGGTATTAATAATACATTAAAAGAAATCAAGAAAAAATATGCAAATGTTACAGAAAGACAAGTCAAATTATTTATCTCTGGTTGTCATGAATGTAAAATGCTCAAAACCCAAAAATTCGTCGAAATTAGTCGTGCAACTAGTCTCACATGATTTTAATGCGCGTGGTCAAGTCGATTTAATCGATATGCAGTCATGTCCAGATGGTCCATTTAAATTTATATTAAATTATCAAGATCATTTTACAAAATTTTGTGTTTTAAGACCAATGAAAACAAAAACAGCAGCAGAAGTCGCTTATCATTTATTAGATATATTTACAATGTTCGGGGCTCCGGTTATTTTACAATCAGATAATGGTCGCGAGTTTGTGGCAAAAGTTATTGAAGAACTAGCTGGAATGTTGATAGTATAACAACAGAAGACGAACTAGAAAAGGAATTAGGCATACCAGCAGTTGCCGATCAAGATACAATTGATGAAGACGAAAATAGCCATGAAACAGAAGCAAAAGGCTCAAAGAATGATGATGAAGAAAGTAGTGGTGAACAAGATGGTCAAGATTTGGATATGAGTTCACTTAATGATCGAGTTCAACGAACGAATGAATTCGTCAGGATGCGAGAGAACGTCAGAAACATCAAGCTGATCAATTTTTACAAAATACATTTAAAAAGCAAAAGTTAGCAAATTTGAATGTTGGTGATAACGTTGTAAGTATTTTCATGCTAAACTTTCCTCAGCCATTTTAACATTGAGATTTGTTCATTTAGTTGGTATCGGTACCAGATGTTGATCGTGGTCCAACAGATGCTCGCAATATATTAGCTGTTATAATGGAAGTTAAACATGACAAATATAAATTAGGTACAGAAAATGGTGTTTTATTAGATTATTATAGTTCTCATCAAGTATCTAAAGCCCCAGGCTTACCAACATTATTTACGCAAGATATTACAAAAGACGAACCTAAATCATTGAGAGAAATAGCCAGACTTCAGAGTGTTACCGGTGGACAAGGAATGTTAAAATGTGACTGTAAAGGCGGTTGTAAAACAAAGATATGCAAATGTAAACAAGAAAATGCTATGCAACTCACGATGCCATCATTCAGCAACATGCGGCAATAAATAATTCGGGTATTTCGAACTGCGATCATTTCTCGTATGTATCTATTCACTTTTACTTCATAATTTGTACAGTTCTGGTTTTTGATGGGTAAATAGAACTGCTTTTAGCTGAAATATAACTTTTGATAATATCATTCAAATAATCAACTCTTTACCGTTGAGCATAATCAGGATGACTTCGATAGAGCACGTCATCAAAGTTATAACTTCCACGAAGTATGTTTACAGAAGTTATAACTTCGATGAGATGGACTATTGAAGTTGTAACTTCTATAAAATTTCTATCGAAGTTATAACTTCGATAAACATGCTAACTTCGATACGACATATATATGGTTGGATAGAGCTCGTTGCGCTGAACGAGAATATGTGTGTTTTAACCTTTCGAACCAAAATTTTAATGTCGAAAATTTTAAAATTTTAAAAAACGGCTTATTTTTAAAAGCGAACGTAAAACTTGAACACAATGTGTGTGGGAACCTTGGAAGCTTTTTATTCTTGTTCTACGTAAAAACTGAAGCTGAAAAATAGTGTTTCGATACTGTTCAAGTATGATATGACCTAAAATATTTTTAGTTTTTCACCAATAGCCAAAATCCCGTTCATGTTGGCGCAAAAAGCTTCAAGTCTCTCTAGACAGGAGATGAAGTCAATATTTTTATATCATTATACTCGCGATAATAGCACGAACAACGTTACGCATCGGTTTTGGAAAATATTGTTCAATTGTTGAGAAAATAAATGCTTTTGAAACAGATAACAAAAAACAAGGAAATTCGCTTGTATCTTGCAGTTTTCACCGTCAAACTTCCTTTTTTTTGCAAAAACAGTATCATATTTAGAATCAGCATCAAAAAAAGCTGACTTGATTGATGTGTGTCTCAGGATTTTTGGACAACTTTGTTATCTGTTTCAAAAGCACTTATTTTCTCAACAATTAAACAATATTTTCCAAAACCGATGCGTAACGTTGTTCGTGCTATTATCGCGAGTAGAATGATATAAAAATATTGACTTCATCTCCTGTCTAGAGAGACTTGAAGCTTTTTGCGCCAACATGAACGGGATTTTGGCTATTGGTGAAAAACTAAAAATATTTTAGGTCATATCATACTTGAACAGTATCGAAACACTATTTTTCAGCTTCAGTTTTTATTAAAAATCTGAGCTGAAAAAATTAAATTCGAATATAAAATTTAAATACCTGCACTTTATGAAAATTTGAATTTTATATTTCAGGAACAAAGTTTTTCCAAATTTCGTAAGTTTTCTTAAAATTTAATGTTGAAATCTGTCATAAACCTCATCACAGAAGAAGTCTAGCTCTGTTTAAATGTATATGAGAAATGCGGGGGTCTTCTAATGTGTTTATTTCTTTACAATGATTTTGTATCTTTCTAGTTTGAAAATCGCATAGCATTATACTTTCTCAGACTGTTAACAAAAATTATTAAGAAAATGACTTACATTTTCAGGGGATTTAGTTTTATCATCATCAAGACTTTCTTCGCTTAAATGGCGTTGAATATGTTTGCTAGGACTTTGTTCTTCGTACGGTTCCTTCACATTTAATATTTCGTCCTCGTTGTCTTCATCATGTAACGTTTGTGTGCGAACCATCTGATAGTATTGACCTTGTTTGTTTAACATTAACTGATTATGATTAGCTCGTTCAATAATTTGTCCATTACTAATAACATTAATACAATCAACATTTCGTATAGTTGATAAGCGATGAGCAATGAAAATCGCCGTGCGACCTTTTTTAAAATAAGTCACTCCATTTGATTAATATAAAGAAATAATGGCTAATTTTATATTTTTACCTTTACATGCACTATCAATAGCTTCTTGTACACGTTTTTCATTAAGATTATCTAATGCACTTGATGCTTCGTCGAACAACAATATTTTTGGATTACCGATGAGTGCTCGAGCAATAGCGACTATTTGAATGAGAAACACTTGTTTTTTTTATATAAAAGTAAGAAATAAATTAATTTGAAAAAGCAAGTACTTCTTTGCTTTTGTCCTCCACTTAAATGTATACCACGTTCACCGACCATTGTGTGATATTTCTAGATGAATAAAACGGTTTACTCTCAGTTCCTCCCAAATTGACTTCTCAATTCGCCCCACGAAGCTTTTTCTCAGTTCGTCCCATATTAGTTTACATTTAATTAGCTTGAATATAACTGCCCGTACTTCTTCTTGTTCTGCGTATGGTGATGTATATGACTGTTGCGGGTGTATAAACAGTTATGTTGAACAAACAACGAAAGCTGAAAAGCGATCATCAAGCAATATCAATGAAGTTTGCATGTATGTGCTCATTCATTTCGTAAAATTCTCATATCGTCTGCATATAATGATATTGTACCTGAGCATGTTCGATCCCGACATCGTCATTGATTATTTGTTTTGTTTGCTCGTCTTTTTGATGTATTGATACCCGTTATGATTCAAAACTGGTTTCTCTTTTGCAGTGAAAACGTAACGTATTGATGAACAAAATAGTTTAACTTATTTAGATTTAAATTTGTGATAGTAGTGGCTAACACGGCATATTATGCCACGTACGCGCATCTAGTCTTGTCCATCGTCATTGCCGTCGACTGAACTGTTCTTTGGTACAACACTTTATTTATTTTGAGGCGTGAGCATAGATATATGGGGACTAGGAAAAAAGCTTCGTGGGACGAACTGAGAAGTCAGTTTGGGAGAAATTGAGAGGACACCAATAAAGGAAGAAAAACAAGTGTAAATGAATATAGTCAATTTCTTACATTTGGTAATTTCATGATAAATTCATGTGCATTCGCTTGGTTACTTGCTTTTTCTATTTCACTCATCGTTATTTTGTTCTTCTGATTGCTACCGTACAGGATATTTTCATAGATGGTCGTGCCGAACAAGATCTAGAAACATTTTATTTATCATATAAAAATGAAACAATTAGAGAATATCATTTACTGGTTCTTGACTAACTACAAGGAATTATTCGTTTATTATGAGACATATTTTTTCGCGTTGATTTCAATACAGAAAGAGTTATTTTTTGACGAACCCAAAAATGAATATTTCATACCAATTTGTTGTCTCAACCATGTGAGACTGTACCCTTGAATTGGACGACCATCAATTCGAATTGTACCGGATGTTGGCTCGTAGAAACGTAATGGAAGCTATTCACCAGAGACATACAAACAACCGAGACTTGAGAGACGTTCGGTCAAAAACGAATATTTAAGGCAGATCAATCATTCAATGTTGCTTGAACAAAACATCCTTTTTTCATCATCATCGAAGGATTGTACTTCCATTGTACATTGACAAAACGGAACACTTAAGTATTTCAAAACAACTTCAACAAGAGCATCAACAGGCTCGTTGTACAATTTCAAAACAGATGATAAGAGTAAGATCACGTTTTTTAGTTTAAAAATAGTCATATTTCCTTGCGACATTTCGTCTTTATTCTTTGAACAAGAATCGTATCATCAGTTAAATGGTTGAGTACAAAGTAGATCACATGTTATCATATCTTTAGAAATGTGACTATTCTTTGTCCTTGCTGACGTTATATGTCCGTCATGCTCTTTTCTGTTCTTCCTACGTCATGTTCTGTCCTGTACTACTGACGTCATTTTACTCTCTTCCATCTGTTTCTCGTATGTTCAACTATATGTAAATTTTATATATGTCAGCGTCCAATGTAGGATTCGGTCCAATCTGAGATTGGCCTAGGCTAGTGTGGGATTCGAGTTTGAACTAGTCCATAGTAGGACCACGCTTTGTACTAGAGTTTTTGCAGTCCAAAGTTGGATGCCAGTATGAACTAGTCCAAAGTGGGAGTGAAGAAAGCATTAAGAGTGATCAAACTGTGTTTCCTCAGGCCAATATGAGATTGTATTAACGAACAAGAAGTACGCGTGTAGCTGTAATAAAAACACTTTTCTCTTGTACGATCAACAACCACACTACATTTTATTACGATAATAGTTTGATTATTCGTGATAGTGATATTGCAACTCGTGAGTTTTTTCTTATATCGATTTTATCAAAAATCGCTGTTTCAAATTACAGTTTTGAAGGCATTTGAGAAAATTTTTATAAATCGACCGAAATCAATATTTTGAGGTCTGGCATGTCTTAACTTAAAGCAAATTAACTCTTCCGTTACATTCGAACAGAGGAAGTTCGGTAGCTCCATTTCATTTCCTCTGACAAGGCGAAGAGGTGGAAGTTTTCCTTGATTTTGGTAGACGGTAGTAAAATTGTCTTTTGTATCGGAAAATCATGTTCAGAGCCAACCTCTATACATGAAAGAAAGACGACACTTCGAGGCACCAGCGATACGTTTTTCTTTATTCTTTTCGTTTTTTATGCTACGATGGATTTTTCTTTTTACAGTATGTCGGAATTACTTTGTACTCAACCACTAAGCTGATGATATCTTAGAATAAAGACATAAAGGAAATATGACTATTTTCAAGGTAAGAAAGGTGATATTACTCTTGTCATCTGTTTTGAAATTGTTTACCTTTAACAACATGTCAACAAAGTTATCTGCCTAGGGTCTCAATCGAATGTAGATTCTTTTGTTACAAGCTTTTGCACTAGCTATGTTTTTTCATGTATCCATGGCTGTGCCAGAATAAACTGAACAACAAATCTGTTGGTGCTCTTGTTATGTTTCCATACATGAACTTTAATAGTTTCTATCACTTTATTTGTCACGAACTAATAATCCGAATAATCACACGAAAATACACTCAAAAATACAGTTATAAATATATAAAATTTACATATAGTTGAACATACGAGAAACAGATGGAAGAGAGTAAAATGACGTCAGTAGTACAGGACAGAACATGACCTAAGAAGAACAGAAAAGAGCATGACGGACATATAACGTCAGCAAGGACAAAGAATAGTCACATTTCTAAAGATATGATAACATGTGACCTCTTTATGTCTTCATGCTATAACAGCTCTTGTTAAAAGTTGTTCTGAATTACTGAAGTGTTCTGTTTTGCCAATGTACAATGGAGTATTCATCTGTTGGAATGTTGTATGACTGATTACTGCCAGTAAACTGTGCTGTTGAATGTCTGCTGTTTACATTTATATTCTACCATTTTATCAGGTGTGATTGTAGCCTATGACCGTCGTTTTTGTTAAAGTAAGATGTTTCAAAAATTCTACCGTTAAGGTTTATTGATACAAATTAATAAGCCCTTCGATTAGATCCCTTACAGCAGAGAATAAAAGTCTATTCATTCTCGAAGCTCTGTTTTCCATTGTCTTCAAATTTTTTGCACCCATGCTTTTCTTTGAAAAGAAAAGTTAATAGAAGTGCGACTCCGTAACATTAGAACTATTAGTATTTATGCTGCAATATACAGACATTTGATTCTAGTCAGTTCGCGTTACTGGAATAAACGGGTTTTCTGCAATAAAAAGGAACAAAACGTTGTGCATAAGATGTTTGTATTGAGTATTGAAGGAACTAAGTAAGTATTTTTTATCATGACCTTTTAGACAAAGTGATGAGCAAATGAAAATAGAAGCTTTTACCGACGTCTAAAAGGAGGACGAGATTTGTCCAAACTCGAGAAAATCGAACAGAAAGGTTGCGCAAAAGCTCTTTTTTTAACTGTAACGTCCTAAATGGATGATCTCTAACAAATGAAAACAGCTGCTCTTACCTGGTTAAAGTAAAACAAAAAATAATGAATTGTGCAAAGAAAAAAAATGCAGTGGACTAGTTAACAGATAATGTTTACCGACTCCACTAGATCCGACCAAGGCCACTTTTTCATCATGACAAACAACTAAATTTAAATTATCCAATACTTTAATATCTTTTCTTGTTGGATATGAAAATTGAACATTATTAAATTCAATATCACCAACTATATCAATATTTTCTTTAATCACATTATTTGTTTGAGATAAATTGTCGTTAAGTAGTTCCTGTAAACGAGATATCATTTTATACCTCATATATTCTGTCAATAAAATCATGCCTGTTTGTTAAGAATCTGCCAAATTTCAGTAGCTGCTCCACTTGCTTCGGATAATGAATGAACATTTTGAGCTAAACCACCAAGAAGGTTTAAACTTTCTACAACAGCTGAAATTATCTTCAAAATAACATAAAATTGAATATTTTTAATATTTTTGTATGTCAGGCATATTAATAAAAGAATCTTACGAAACTAATATCTCCAATTAAATTGTTTTTATTCATTTGATCATTATTTTGTAAGATTAGTCGATAACCGAAATAAAAACCAATTGAATATGTAAATAGTATTATCATTGTATAAAGACCCGTATAACATCCAAATAGAATGCCTTTTTTTATACTTTTAAGAATAATCAAATATCACATAACATCATTATTTTAAAAAATATTATTTTTGTACGGAGTTTGAGATATACGCAACTGCTGAACAATTCATCGTGTTTGCATGAATCCAAATATTTATTATAGCTAAACAAGAACAAAAATACTCTCATACGACAGCATCTTTATTAATTATTACCGTAGTTGTTCGTATTCTGAACCATTATAAGCAAAAACTGTTCGAATTGAACTAAATATTTCTTGTGCTATTGCGCCAGATTTTGCATATGATCTTAATTCATTCATTGTCATTAATGCCGTTAACTAAAATAAAACGATGAGTAATAATAGAAGACAACAATGTGCATGTATTTATTTAAAAATAGTTATCCTATACTTTTACAAATATTAACCATGCCATTATTAATAACGGTAATACTGCTAGAATAACTAATGTTAATTTCCAATTTATAATAAAAGCTAATGTAGTACTAATAATGCAAGAGGAAGTCATTACCATAAGAGGAAATAATTTGAAGCCTATACCATCATGAATTTGATCGATATTTCTACAAAACGTAAGAATTACTGACGACAACTACTATCCGTTTCAAATAGAAGGCATACTACCGTTTTTTTGAATAACTTTTGATAGGAATGAGATACAGACCTGCGGATTTCAGCATTCGATAGAGGACACTTGAGGCTATAATCTTATGTAAAAATCCAGTCTCCCGGAAAGGTTTATCACGACATACCGTTCGAAACAAAATGTCCGAGTCTGCCATTTCAAAAATCTCCATAGCAAAGCACTGCTCTAAACACATGTAGATATACAACAGATGTCACTCTACAACCTGCCGTAAGTCTCAAGTCTTCATCTATCGCGATTCGGACGCTACAGGCTACCTTCGGGAACCTATCTATCGGCTAAACCTGAAGTCCGGAAGCCTTAAAAATACATGAAACATAGATTTTCCAACACGTGAAATTTCGTGGCAATGTTTGTTTTGTTGTCAGAATTAAACAAACTTCAAAAGATGAATTTTTCAGAAAATTTGGTTTTTCCGCTGTGACCGTACTAAAATAAAAACCTTCTAGCAACATCATTTCTCAACCAAAGTGCTTCAAATTTTCAAAACTCACTCAGTTCCGTTTACTGTACAGTTTAGGAATGTTAGGATTATGTTTTCTTACTCACACCTCCGAAGATCTTTAGGTAACATCTGAGTAAGAAAACATAATTCTAACATTCCTAAACTGTACAGTAAACGGAACTGAGT